GAGTGAACCAAAACAGTAAAGTTGAGGGACATAAAACCAAAACAATGACCTGAGTGATGCTAAAAACTTTAGAGTTCTAATAATTTTCTGTGGTTTTGTCATTAAATATTTCACATTTCACATGGTCATCAGACCCATTTTAATATAGAAATATTGATTGATTAAAGCAGCTTTAAGCCAGTACACTGAATGAGTATAAACCCCCAAATCAGGTCAGCAGTTTTCATCACTATGTTATACTAAAAACAGTACATGTTGATTTTGTGAATTTCAAGCCTTCAACGCAGAGCAATTATAGAAACCATCAACATAAGACGGTGAAACCATTGCTTTTGTTATGAGTGTATGGTAAGCAGTAGTCTGTTTGGGAGCCTAAGCCTTAAGTTCTGTAGATTAGATTTATAGACTAGATGTGTTGAGGCATTGATAGAAACATTCAGGGCAGCAGATTCCGTCTGGGCCGAGTCATGAGCAGCTTGTCCAGACAAGTCCTGTGCGTGGAGAGGAGGACATAACACAGAGCCTGATCCCAATCACACACACTGACAAGAAGCCCTTTTTTTTTTTTTTCCTATACGCTTTCTGTCTTCATTACTCATCCCCTCCCGGTTTTACTCCAAACATTACTCATTCACTTCCTGCATTTATACCGAGATATTTATTATCTTACCTTCAGATTTCGTTCGACCTTCCTTTTTTCTGTGATTCATGGTCAAATGTGAACCAGGATCTTGGAGCCAGCTTGTGTATAAGACCACAGCTGATGATCAGCGAGCGCAGGTTGATTCCATCAGTGCACATCAAGCAGCGGCTGAGCTCTGGGACTCGGTTGCAGCTGTCGTGTCGAACAGTGACCCTGTGTGGAGTTCATGTCATGTGTGGGAGGCAGTGACAGACTTGCGGTTTCTGTGTCTCTGTCTGGGCTGGCCTGCATTGAGCAAACGGCCACATGTTTGGGCTTTGTGTGCAGCCTTTGAGCCGGTGTTTCCTTGGTGTGACTTGCGCTTTTGTGTTAAGGGGAGGTGAACCCTGTGGCCTGCGGGATGCCTATAGCCACCCTGATTACATGTTCTGTGTGTCCAGCTGTTTGTCCAAGCCAGCTCCCGATGCAACTCTCGAAACACAGATGAGAGAGCAGGGAAGAGTGAGAGTGCCAGATTTCCTCTCTTAATGGAAAACATACTGAGCATTTCTCCAAAAAAATGTCTCTTTTATTTGTTTCCTCCCTGCTTCCTTTTGCTTTGGGTTTTTTTATTTAATTGCAGTAGATTCCAGCCCAGAGCGACTTGAGGTTTCTTCCTCTTGTGGTAAATCTGGAGGCTCTTACCGGATCACGCTGTGGCTCAGCCATGCCAAAAGCGCAGCGTCACTTTCGACACAAACATACATCCCACCCCTCCCCGATACCGCAGCCGTGGCACGGGCAGTCAGCCAGTGGGCAGAAGCCACAGCTCCCTGCCACAGAGGTACTGCCCTGCCACCCCGCCTGTGAAGAAGGGCAACGCTCACTGCTATGGCTCATTTAGGCAACTGCTATAATTATGCAGCCAGTTTCTTTTTTTAATTTCCAAAAGCCAATTTTTGTATTTTTTCATCTGCTGTTCATCTGCTGCTATTTATGGCTTGTATGTTCTCGATCCTACTTCCTTCACATGTGTGTCTGAAACTGGCTTATGATTCCAAAATGTAAAACTCTCAGATGCTGTTGTATTTTTAGTCATGCTCGCAGCAATGTTGGCCTGTTGGTCGGTCGCCACTTTGGTTCAGACTGAAATATCTTACCATGTGGACATTTAGGGTCCCCAGAGAATTAATCCCAGCAACTTCAAGCATCACCATGAGGCTGACATTATTGTGTTTTACTGAAAAGTCTCGACAGTGATCAGATGGATTGCCACAAAAATTGGTACAAATATCCACAATCCCCTGAGGATGAATTCTAATGACTTTGGTGATTGTTTGATTTTTTTTATCTAGCTCCACCAGTAGGTCATATTATTCACTTTTCCACATTTCTACATCTACTTGGTGAAGTAAACATTTTGCACAAGCATTTATTGTTCCCCAAATAATAAATCACAATGCCTTTGGTGATCCTTTGAATTTTCCTCTTGCTGACACATTCCTTGACAAATTCTGGTTCTGGTACAGACATTCATCTTCTTCAGAATTTATTGTGATCCTCTGACATTTTCATCAACATATGAATTTGTCCAGTACTTTGGTTTATAACCAAATACCTGCAATATTCTCATCAGTGTTATCTGTACTTTATATTTAGAGCTAATTGGCAAATGTTAGCACACTAAACTAAGATGATGAACATTGTAAACATTATACCTGCTACACATCAGCAAGTTCAGCCTCACAGAGCATGGCTTTTTTTTATGATCCCACGTTTATTGTCATGTATGTAAGGCTTAAAACCAAAAGCACGGCTTGTTTTGAAATTGACGACAACAATGAAAAGTTCTGACTGAGGAAAAAGAAAAAGAAGAACAGAAAAATAGTGTACAAAATAAACAAAAAGCAAAAAAAGCACCATCCCTCCCTCCCAGGCACATTAACACACCCTCATATTAGGGGGATTTGCTGTTAGTTAAAAGCACTTCATCAATGGAATCAGAAAAAATATGCAACACACACACAGATAAATATAAGGGAAATGAGAGGTTCTATCAAATAACTTGAGGAATGAGGGGAAGGAATAATTTCTGGCTGTAGTCTTGTTTCCTCTACCATCAGTATACAGTGAATCAGAGGATGGCGTGTCTGTTTATGTGATGGTGGGAGCTGGTGTGTATGGTGGCAGGTGGTAAGTTACACATGGCGGTGTTCACACAGACTGAGCTCTAAACAGGGGCACGACAGTTGCTGTCAGTGTTTTTCCCCTCGTTCCTCATACCTTTTTTTAGGTTTTGTTCTAAAATACCCTGAACCACATCTTTCTCTTCCTGCTTTACAAGTGTTTGTTTGCCTTTTAATTGGTTTGTGAGGCGCCCCTCCCCTCCCAAAGTCCAACTGAGTTGCCAGGATACAGACCATGAGAAGGAATTTCAGGACCTCAGTAAAATCTATGAAGGACTCCGACAAATGCAGGCAAACATGGTTCTGTTTTTAACAAAACACTTCAGTACATTAAACGGCCATCCATCATGCTGGGAGTTTGTTCCTGGGACACGTTTTAATGTGACACCTGAGGGCTCTGCTCTGTCAACAGATGGCCTCAAACAGAAGTCCAAATATTCCTATGGATCGGCCATCCTGTCTGTGACTTACTGTTTGTCCATCCCTCGATAAAGTGAACAGGCGTTTAGAAATGTTGTGGTCATCCCGCGTGTATGGCCTCAATGTTAGGAAATGAATGGAGGTTTGTTGGGCAGCCATGCTAGGAACAGGGTGATATGTGTTTCCTTTCTAAACTTTAGAGTTTATGTCACTTGTAAAACCCAGATTGACTAGTTTGTATATGCAGGCGGAGGGAACAGGGTTGTTTATCTTCTGACTGACGTAATTCTGTGATTAGCTCTGGGTTTTTATACCTCCGCTCTCTGTCTCTCACACACACAAACACAGTCTGATCCCAGGCAGACGTTGCAGCTGACCTGAGACAAGGCCCATATGAACTCAATTTTCTCCCACAGACAGCCAAAACAACCAAAAACAACAACAAAAAATGCATGCTGACGTATGCAGATAGGAAGGAAATCAATAAAAAAACAAAGAAGGAGGCAGAGCGGTGAGATGAAAGGAGGCTTGCAGGGCAGGCGGCTGGAATTTAGCACATCTGTTACCTTGGCAGGGCTCTCAATCATGTGCGATGTTGTGGAGGCTGAAAGATGGTCAGAGAGCGGCGGTGTAGGTTGTCTCCAAGCTCACTCATGTTTGTCGCCCAAGAATACAACACAGGATTTTTATTTTGTTATTTATTTCTTTAAAAAAAGCCACACTACAAAAAAACGCATTTTTGAAAGTTGACATTTTCCTCCCAATTTTAGTAATTGGAGGTTTAAACTTTGCTATTTTCCCTCCTTTTACATTTGGTCAAGAGGAATTCAGAGATTTTTAATGAAATTGTTTTACAGCTCTTGGACATTTTTGTATTATTTATGAGTTGATTAGTTTACCGCAGTTCTCAATAAACACTTCTGGTATGTGTTGCACAACACAGTATGAGCTTCTGTAAATCACACGGGAAAGTATCTGAGTTGAAAAACAACTGCTTTTAAAGCCCAGAAGCCAAACTGAATAAGATTCTGTTGCAAATAATATCATCTTTCAGTACTACTTATTATTCTCTTCTCTTTTTCTACCTCTGCTTGTTTTAGAGCTTGTGTTGCATGTTGATTAACCCTCTTCATATTATTACCTGTTTGAGAGTTGTTTTATCTGCTTCTTTGCAAAAGAGGTTTCATATCTTATATAACTGGTTCAATAAAATAAAAATAAAAGTCTCAATATTACAAAAAATTAATAAATAATTTTCTTTGTCTATCGTCCTGCTTCTTATTTTAGATCTTCAGGCCTTGATGTGCACTTGGACCGAGTGTGTTATGTGGTGTTATTGTATCCCTGTTGCCCTGAGACAACCACTCAAGACAATGATGTTTGCCAGTAACAACACAATCGCACCAGTCTGCTTGCCCCACTGTTTCTTTTTCAACCAGTAAATTACATGGAGCGACAGCCACAGCCCTTTGAATGAATCACGTTTGGACAAAAATAACAAAACTGGCATCAATAATAAAACTGTTTCCCTGCCTGGCGATTATAATTAGAGTTTGGTAAATACTAGCGCGTTTAGATCTCAACGAGATTTTGTCTGGAATTCCCCTCATACTGTTATAATCATACAGTGCACGCTCAGATGAAGAGACACCACTTATTTATTTTCACAGCTTTGTTAAACCATTAATACACAGGCACATTCCGGCCACAGAGTGATTCATAAAGAGCAGTATAACCTCATTACCTTTGACCTCCTCCTGTTTGTCCCACAGTTGCTGCGGATGGTGACGGTATCTGAGAAGCGCTGGAGAGCCCGGTCGCGTGGAAGTGGAGTGGACGGGTGGAACGACGAGGGGGAAGAGGGGTTCGAGAGTGGTGACTGTGACGATGAAGATGAGTGCGCTGGAGTGTCAGGGCTGGGGCCACCACCGAGACGCAAACGGTTACGCATCTTTGCAGGTTAGACACGTTTGCTCAAACTGGATCTCAAAATTAACTCTAACTGCAACTTGTGTGGTTTAGAATTTGGTGCTGCATCCACACTGATAACTTAAAAATGACCTAAAATTGCATTCATGAGGTGGGCTGTGAAAGCATTTTGGGCACATGCTATTAAGTTGTTTATGTTTAAGCCTGCTGCCCAAATTGGAGCTCCTTCTGCAGTGAGTCAGAGCAATCACAGTCCAAACACAGGGGCAGTGGGCACAGCAGAGGGGTGTTTACATGACTACTGTACATGTTGACACCATTGTGACACTATGCAGCAGGAGACGTGAGACTTCCTCAGGTAGCCGCCTCACCTCAACCTCTTGACCTCCCCGCCGTCAATCCCTTGGAAACGTCAGACGTGCTCTCCGAAAGCCAAACAAAGAACAAATGAAGCTACAAACTGTTGGAAGAAAAGAAACCAAACAGAAAAAGAGGGCGAAAACAGCCAGAGAGCAAGAACAAGGGGGTTCGATATACCGACACAAAGCCAGCGCAGCTGAGCAAACACGGCAGTGGGAGTAGTCCTCCTGTCTGGGATGTTGTGGCAGAGATTTGGGTTCATCGGGCAGGGAGCGAGAGCAGGAACCAGGGGTTAACACAGGAATCCTGCAGGGCCATCACTTCCAGCAGGCTGGGCCGTGAGAGTCTGATGCCCTCTCTTGCACGCTCCCGTTGGCCTGACTCTACAGTTCTGCTTCAATACATAGGGTCATTATACTGTCTCCTCTGGTTCACAAGCTGCTGAAGTTGACACAGCGGGAAATTAAAGCACCCTTTATAGCCTGACCTCCATCTCAGCCTCAATATCCCCTTAATTTTCCCTTATCTGTCCTGTAAAAGAGCAGATTAGATGTGTATTTAGTGTGTGTGCTTCTCGTGAGTGTGTGTGAGTGAGTCTGCAGGCACATAAACGCCTGTTTGTACATAAGCCAGTAATGTTTGCAGACCTTGGAGAGGCCCTTCTCATTGGCAGATACACAGATAGCTGCTGATAGCCTGTGATGACCCAGCAAAATGCTGACCTTGCACGGCCACTCAGCCCATTTTGGTCAAACAGGGGGCTGGGGTTCAAAGGTCAACCTGCAGAGCATGAGGCCTAATGGGCTGCCTGTCTGCTCTGCTGCTCTGAGATGGACGAGGCAGATCTGGTTTCACAAAGCCTGGAGCGGAGAGAGAGACAGTATAGCACACAGCCGGGGAAAGGTGACAGAAGCCACAACAACAAGGTGAAGACAGGAGAGAGGCAGGTCTGAGACCCCCACACAGCACGGCTGTCAGCCTGCTGAACACGCAGAGGATGTTCCCAAACGTACTTAATGATTGAGCTGTCCTCGCTCATTCTCGACACAGATTCCATAAACTTCTGATCACTAATGCTACACACACACAGACACACACACACTTCCCCTCCCGACCGTTCAAACCCTACGTCGCACATTCCCCAGAGCATTCCAGGCCAGGGGAGCTATTCCAGGACAAGGACCCCCCCCACACACACACACACCAACACCACCACCACCACACCCACACCAACCCCTCCACCACCACACCAACCCCTCCAAAGCCAGACAAACAGCCAGGCACTGGGTTGGTTACAGCTCACACACCAGACACTCACTGACCTCTCTGGTGATGTGTCACTTAATTATATTATTTTATCTATTGTTTTCTTTTACATGAACAGCTTTCATTTCCAAGTCATTTGAAGCTGCAACTGTTTTATTTTAAGTGGTGGGAGATCTTTAGAGATTAAGACACTGAGGATGGTCAGATGATTAAATGTCTTTAGTCACTTAAATGTACTGTGATGTGTTCTTATAGCAAGCCTATGTAACTTTTTCTGATCAGTGGCTGTGACTAGTGTCAATTATGATATACTGTTATATGTTAAAATGTAGGGTGACAGTAACACAAGGAGGGAAGAGTCATAAAGTCAGCTAACTGACTCAGCAATGTTATTTACCCAGCAATATCTACCTAAAGCTAACATTAGCCACCAAAAGATACTGGTATCACCTTTATGCTGCTAAAACTAATGCTGTGTTTACACCAACTGGGAAGCAAATTTTGACCTTGCATAAGTTTGACCACACGCTCATTTGTTTAAACAAAACCTGCAAATATTGACTTTTAATCTGGCTTACTACAGCAGTATAAACCCAAAATAAACAGATTTTTCTTTTATGTAATTGCAATAAATGGATCAAAAGGATGCTGAAATATTTTATATCATGATGCCCATTTGTAAAAAAAAATCTGAATTCATACAAGCAAACAACTTGAAATGTTTGTTTTCTGAATGGAGTTTGGATCGATCAGGGCAATGCTATGCTAACGTAGTTAACAGAAAAGTACAACTGACAGCTGCAATCAATTAACAAGACAAAACTCTTTTTTGTCTGGTCTTTATATAAATATCAAGTAGTATCATAGAGCTCTGGGTTCCTCGCCCTTTTCTGATTCAACGTCAGTGACATCAGGAGAATCTCAACACTCATAGGCTTTTCATGAAGCAGTGTCACGAAATATTGCATCAATTGCTGCAAAATTAGCTTCATGTTTGGTGTGAACACGTGTTACTCGTGTTATTTATTCTTTCAGAAATCACATAGTCTCCCTTTTATTGTTTTAAACTTTGCCTCTGGATGTGTGAATATAGGTCTTTAGAACACAATCAAAACTATAGATTATGTAGTTTAAATTACATAGCCAGAAATACGAGTTGCATTTAGACAGAGAAAATCATAAGCATGAAGGATAATTGTTTTTTATAATTATGTATAATCCCAAAATATGTAGGTGAATACACGTACAGTAATGCGTAGGTTTGTCTGTGTGTGTAGTTTTTTCAATCCTGTAATCTGTAATACCATATTACTGTCTTTCCCTCATGATGAGGGCTCACCTGTGTGTCTATGCTTTCATGCACACCTGGTCTCTGTCTGTACAGCCTCTGTGGGAAACAAAGAACCTGCCACCATCTCCATAAACTCTGCTCTAAGCCTCCCTTCATTCCCTCATCCTCACTTCATTTTTTCTCCCACTGTCACTTCAAATATGTACTGCAATGTTTTCAGAATACAGCTTCACAAGAGCTCAGACAGAGTAACTGCTGAGTAACTGACTGAATGAAAATGTTTCTATCTGTGTAAAAGTGAAGCCTGCCAGTGAGGTTAATCATTTGTTTCCAGCTGAGTTTCAGATCTTGGAGTTCTGTAAAAAAAAAAAAAGAAAAAAAGTGGAACCACAGTGAAATCATTCTCACTACTCTCAAGGTAATGTTCTTGACTCAAGTTAGTGCTTGAAACAAAATGACTCACTGAGAAAATGTGGAAATAATCCACGGAACTGTCTCTTTTTATAACACAAGTTGACCACTCAATTTTAACCCACTTATAAAGATGTCTATTTAAGAGTCTAACGCTAACTGCTAGACTAAATAACTTGTTAAAATGGGTTTTTGATGCAGTTTGGAAACATTCAGTAGTCTGAAAGCCAACAGTCGGAGGGCTCTGCCACGGCCCAGCAGCCCAGAGCTATGCCTTGTGTGTTTTCTTGCTGAGCTGGACGGGCCTTTGCTGTGTGCTGTACCTCACCATGCTCAGCAGGAGCTGCGTGAATAGGCCTCTTGTTATGTTCCTGCACTCAGACGTTCGGTCACTGTAAGCACCCCGAAGGAAAGCTGTTCTTTTGGAAGCTCTTGAGCATTTTATCAGCGCTGGGGGTTAGCAAAATACAAAGTGGAAATATTCCTGTAATGTGAAACATGCGGCTTACGATGAGAGGCTGGGCTCACCTTTCAGGTCTGCTACAAATTTTGTGGCTGGAACAAAGGAGCGAGAAAAAGAAAGAAGAAGGTGATGAAAGAATGCGGGGAAAGAACAGAAAGAGACAAAAACACCTTTGATAACTCTAAGGGTTGATACACTGGGAAACTTAAACATTCTTTACTCTTTATGTGGGTCGAATTGACAGCCGTGCGTGCTGCCAATACGAGAGCCTGGTATGTTAATTAACTGCAGCTGCGACCCTTGACCCACGGCACCTGATAGGTGAGTCGCAGGGCGCCAGTCCCTCACAGTGGTGTTTGCCACATGTCTTCATCAAAAAAGCCGTAGTCCAGACACTGTTGACGTTTGCTCTGGCAGCTCTGGGTGCATCCACCATGTAAACTGTTTCCTTCTCCTTTAAGCTCCATATACTTGCATAAAGCTGATTATCTGAAGTACCGCTCTCATAAATGCGCTTCCTGTCAAAGAGTCATCCACATGTGGTAGAGGGCCCGCGTGCCACAGGTTAGCGTGAGACAGAAGGAAACCGCCTCGGACGATGCAGATGTGTGAGGAGGAGTGCAGGTGTTTGGGTAGAGGAGGAATCTGGGTACCCACATGGCCTGAGTCCTCTATGGTTTTTCATCAGCCAGCAGAGCCAGATGATACAAAAACATGCAGACTTAATCACAGTTTTGCTATTTGATGCCTGCCTCATTCTTCCACCAAGGTATATAGAGTAAAAGGGAACAGGTGAGAGTGTTGAGTTCATTTTTCCTCTAAAATGCTGACAGATCGACTACCATTCTGTCAGATTCGTAGAGTTGAGTCACATGACTTAAAATGTTTAAGACATTTTTTTGTGTTTCTATGCTTTCATGCACACCTGGACCACCTTCAAAAGGAGGGGTTTATCCGTCCACCACTTTGGTCCAGACTAAAATATCTCAGCAGATATCGACATTCATGATCCCCAGATGATGACTTGTACTGACTATGGTGATACCTCAAGGGCCGGCTGTGGCTCAGAAGGTAGAGCTAGTCGTCCACAAATCAAAAGGTTGGTGGTTCAATCTGAAGACACTGAACCATAAAATGCTCCTGTGCCATCCTGTGCCATTGGCGTGTGAACAAAGAATTACCATGGAGCGCTTTAGATAGGAAGCGCTGTATCACTCCTGATAAGCAGGTTGGCACCTTGTATGGCAGCCCCTGCCATCAGAGTATTTGTGTGAAAGGGTAGATGTTGGCATGTGTTGTAAACCGATGAATGGTCAGTGGACTAGGAAAGCGCCACATAAATGCAGTCTATTTACCCTTCAACCTTTCATACAGTGCCTTCATCATTAGGTAATGCTTGCTAACAAGCTGAACTAAGATAGTAAACATGGTCAACATAATTAGTTAGCATTGTATATGTGAGAATGTAGCATGCTGACATTAGCATTTAGCTCAAACTTTGTCTAAGTACAAAGATGCTAGCATAGTTTTAGACTCGTGTTATTTTATGCCAACTGAAATCACCAACCAGAAACATAAATTATCAATCACAACTCTTTTAAATACCTCCAACACTGAAATGCTTTGGATTTGATAACACAGATTTTTACCAAATGTGTTTCTGTAACTAGTGTTGCTATGAAACTGCATAATTATGATTTTTTTTTTTTCAGAGAAATCAAAGAACAGATGTTTTTGCTCAGTTTAAGGCGATCTACAACACTGCAAATCAAAATTTCATTCCAAAAAGAG